AATCATGGAACCGTCTTCCTGGCCTCTTGGTAGGAATCTCTCGCGTTTCGATATCGAATCGGTCGCATCCACCTTGCCCGTCTACCTGATGCTCGCCATTCGATAATTCTAGCGTTCCTTACCTGCTCGATTCAGCGCACCGAAGGAAAATGAACGAGGCAGGAGCGAGGTGGAGAGGTACGAGAAACGATATGCAGATTTAACGTTGTGAGTGACCTTTGTCGGTCATTGCACGTTCCGTCAGATATAGCGTCGAGTGCACGTGTACTCTGTTCCGCGGTCGACGGTGCATACCAGAACCAGTACAAGGAGGTCTCGCGGAAGAAGGAGAGGGAGTCGCACGGAGGTCCATTGCGGGGACCGATCTCTCATTAGCGGTCGTTCGCTTTATTCACCGAGACCCGAGCAAGAGCGGATTAAGGAGTCGATGTCCGCCCTTCGTTCTTTTCCTCTCTTCCTCTCCGTAATCGCGCTATCATGCCGTAGTGTAGGCACGATGCCTAACATCTATATACAAATTTATTTGCACGTAACGTTACGTAGAAATTTCAACCGATTGAAATTCGTCTTATAGATAAGTTTACTGCTATTTCTGTTTCTGTTAGATTATTACGTAGATCTAAAGCAATATCCTGATTGGTAAATTGGCTTATTGGCTTAAGCTTAATGCCTGGTTTATGCTTCGATTTTAACCCTAAAATCCTAAAATGCAGCCAATGAAATACAGATTTCAGTTAGGACCAATTAAGACTGGCAGTTCTATTGGTTGAATTTTAGGATTTTAGGGTTAAGACCGAAGCATAAACCAAGCACCAGTCTTACGGTTATTATTACGGAATTTTGTCTGTGATAACCCAAAGAACAGCAGTTCAGTGTATAGCATCACTCCTCTCTCTCTTTTTTTTTTATAACTGTTAGCACTATGAATTAACCGTCGGTTAATATTTAACAAGAAATTGATGAAAGAGAACTTTGGGTTAGTACAGTGTTTTGAAATTCACGTGTTATCGGGTAGAAATAAAGTTGCACGGTCACACAAGGATTGGACCATTATCAACGGATAAGGCCATGCCTTCGAGGAAGTTCGATGGCGAGAGGTCGGGTATCATCAGCTATGCCATTGCTGTAGATAATTGTGGCGCATTCACGCAATTATCATCAACGTGCCTCACGTTTTCCGAGTGCGTATGATTCGTTGTTGTAGGTGAATTCCAAGAGTGCATTTCGATTACTGTGCAACGTGTACGGCCGATCACGTTTCAACCTTCTCTTTACTCACGTGTCTCTTCTTCGTTATCTTCTCCCATGGCTCTTCTTGCGCCTCTTCCTCCGCACAATCCAGTTTGTTTTACGGCAGAGGGAAAGTAGCGTATTCGTCATATATGTTATCATATGGTGGCTATGAATTCTTGAGCATAGCAGCCCCTTCGCGTATATAGCGTACCTTCGTTATGATTTTCATGTGATTTTCTGTAGCGTGCAAACGGATTCTTGCGTCGAGCGTGATCAAAGTACTCTTGATATGTGACAAATCGATGAGTCTAGAAATGAGATCGACATGATCGGAATGAAGATGAAGGAATGTTGTAGAATGTAGATGATGATAACGACAATATTTTGTAACGGTTTGTATTTGTATTGATTGCACTGAGATACATATTAGAGGCTATAACGTACAATAAAAGAAATAGAGAACAGGGAATATGAATTTCAACCGATCAGAAATCATATTGTGGAATACATAGTTTCTGATATGCTCTTACAGTTATCATTAAGCGGCATCTGCAATAATTAGATTTTAAGGCGTAAAACTTAAGCTTTAAGCATTAAGCCGCAAGAAATTGATGACCAATTATAGTCGAGTATTCGCCTCATATTCGATTGTGATTGGTTTCAATTTCTTACGGCTTAAGATTTATATCTTAAAAATCTCATTATAGACGTCCTTTTACAGAAAATGCGATAATCCTAAGCGATGCGTATTCTCGAGCGGTCTTATTCTACATAAAAAGAATATAATATTAACTTGTCTCTTGTACCAACAAGTCCCAGTTTCCTCTATTTTAGTATTTCCGGGAAAACATTGAAGAATATGAGATGATGTTTTCTTTATCTCTGCACAGGCAATTTTCATGATTTTTGGCCCAACTAAATAGTGGTACTTTGACCTGCCAAGAAATTCTCTATTCTGCAATCAATTAGCATATTTAAAAAATGTATCATACGACAAATGAAATAGTACCCTTAAATGTTAATACCAAAAGATTCAACTATTTCTTATTATCGAGTCTTTTTAATCTAGCTTTCTAAGAGATTAAGGCCCGTGTGCACAGCTGAAACTTCGAAACGTGTCTGCCCAAACTTCTTCTAGCGGTCAGTAGGTCGATAGGAAATTGAGCTCTTCATCTTTTTTTTTCCCCTCTCGCATTAACTCGTACGCTCGGAACGTATCAAATAAATTAAATTCGGTCCATAGAGACGTGATCGACGTACAAACTCGCACGTGATTGGCGAAGGCGAGCGATAGCTCTCACGTGAGCGAAGATAAGTGCACATACTTACTGGATAGTCGTAAGATGAACCGAGAAGGCTAGTCGTATGTATGTAGGAGCAACGTGTCGTTGATAGTTTTGTGTGCGTCTACGTGTGTGTGTGTGTGTGTGTGTGTGCACAGTAATATTAAAAATACATTTAACGTTCTCTCATAAACGCAACTGACCTTCTCGACGAGAAACTGGTTGATTACGTGAAGTATTTTTACTCATGGTAAATATAAATATATGTATGGTAAATATGAATATATGTATGGAAAAACGCAATATTTAATTGATTACAAGTGGAAATTAGACCGATAAGAATAAATCAAATAAGAAAAAGAATCTTATTTTTAATAGAAACGGATTTAATAATATTTATATGCAAATTTTGCAGCTATATTTTTCAGTTATATAAACCGCTCGCCGATTTAGTTTATCGAACTTAAAATAGTTGAAACGCAATCATAAATTGAAGCCAGATATCACAAATTGCATTGATCATCAATTTAATAACAATGCTAATAAGCACATCTTAAAACACTGCAAAGAATTATTACAAAAAATATTAACAAATTTTTTGTAGTGTTTTAAGATCTTTATTAGCATTATTTAATTAATAATTAATATCTATAATTTATGATGTTATTTCCAGCTTCAATTTATGATAGAGTTTCAAGTTTCAAGTTAGACAGAGTCGGGATACAATTTATATGACTGGAAAATATATTTGCAAAGGACCCCGCACAAACCTTATGGGAAGTGGCCCTCGGTTAAATTCGCTCAAATTGATATATGTTGTAGCCCTTAATGTTCTGATGAAAAGTCTCCATGGCCACAAAGCTTGAAACTCAATAGTTTTTTCTACACGTACATTCTAAGTCAGGGCTCGGCACGAAATGCACATTTCGGCCGATTTTCGAGTCGGCTCCGCCTCTCGCTATTCGCCTCGCGCGCAATCCAAATGCCGCTCGACGCTTAGGAATGTACTAAGACGCTCGTAGACGTAAGGGACATTCGTTCGGGGCGCTCGACACGCTCTAATCTTTATTCTATCTTTTTTTTCGCTCATTACATACGAAACTAATAGCGAATTCAGTTGAACGTACTAGTGCACATTAGTGTACATTAAAGCCGTTATACGCAGATTTAATCCGTGTAAAAGTAAAATGCAAATATTTCAAATTATAAAATACAGATTTTACATAACGGCATAATAACATCTATTGTAGATTTCATGGTTTAATTCCGTTTTAAATCTGCGTATATAACGGCTTTAATGTACACTAATATGCACTAGTACGTTCAACCGAATTCGCTATTCACGAAAAAATCGTGAAAAATCTCCGTATTTCTTTTGGAAAAATGGGCTATAAATCCGTTTCGACTAATAATAGGATTTTTTTCTTATTTGATATTTAACAGAATTTAAAATTATACTTTTATGACTGTTTCTACAGATTTTAATGTCGATTTAGATATATCAATTAGAAAATATCCTTTAAGATGTAGTTGCAAACGTTGGTTAGTTTCATCAGAAAATTTAAGAAAATTTATTATGTCCGTCGGTAGCTCCTTTGATGTAATTTTGTGATTCAGGTAGATTTTCTCAGGTAGAAAATTTTTCTCATATTTCCGTTTGGAACTAGAATAACTCGTATACGTCATATCTAACAAAAACTTAATTTATTAAGTATTATTTATTATGTTTAAAATAAATAAACTACATCAGTAAAAACTTTGTACTGTCTATTAATATAATATGAAAAAAATATTAAAGATCCGAAATAGTTATTTTTTGTATTATATAAATAAGACGTAAAATGACACAATAACTTATAAAATATGTTTACAAAGTTTTATTAAGGAATAAGAATGATAAATGCATATATATGTAGTAATAAATAAGTAAATAATAAATAATAAGTAAGTAATGATTAATAATTACAATCTTTTATATATATTACAAGTGTTATAATATGATGTACATATTTAATGTAATGCATTTATTGCATTTAGAATATTAAATATTATTTAATTTTCAACTAGGATTAAAATTCTTATGAATGAGTTTTTCAGTCTTGATTTTTTTAACATCCGTACGGACACATAAAGTCGACAGCTCTCGTGTGTCGTCGAATATCGTGGAACAAATCTTTGCTGTCGCAGCATGGAGAAGTTGTCATTTGGTAGTCAAACGATCCCCGGTTATCACTTTCGTCAACAGTTTGATGGCGACATTTAGTCCGATACTGTGGTCGACGTTACATCGTATATTCTTTCCCACGATATATTTCTTTCGAAAAGACGATAGTTGTACGTACATTTACATTTCGGAATTTATCCTAATCGGCATTTATTTCGTAAATAATAATTATTTATATATTTCTTTATATAAGATTGAGCATATCTTCCTTTCCTTGCTGCAGATTCAAGTTTCATAATTCCCGCTCAACCAGTTATAATATTATTCAAGACGGGCGTGGACCGGTGGACGTCGTGGCTGCTATAGTTTCTGTGGCAACAATCCGCTGTTGGCAGAATCGGTGAGTTTTATCCAACGTTATATTTGTTTCTCACAACTGAGTTTCCCGTAATTTTAAGTTTTTACGCAACTGATGTGTTATATGTATAATTATTACACACGTTAAGGGGGTAAAATCTACGTTTTTAAATTATAACTTACCTAGAAAGCATAAATTGTATAATATATAAAATACATTAACCTCCAAAGAACCTTGCATTAATAGTTGCTTTCCATTTACACCGACTCTCTGATAATTCTCACTTGTGACGTCATAACTCAGTTGAATGCGCGTTCCTTTTACATTCTGACAAGTGAGATATTTAATTGAGTTTTTATCTATAATCTGCACAAGATCGAGACCGTGTGCTTTAGTGAGTCTCGTAAATTCACTTTAAAAGTCAGGTTCGAATCCGTGTTGTCGTGTGATAACTGTTTACCAAACTAATCGAATAATGACGTCATTAATCTGAGTGTGAAATACTCAGCTCACTTCAGACTCGGTTTCACTTGTGTGCAAATGGAAATCAACTAATTATATGGGAAATTGAGTCCCGGTGAAATGAATTAGTTTTCAAATATGTTGTAGCTTATCGTGTAGTGACAAAAATATGAGTTGCTTTTTCCATTTACACCGATTTTCAGATAATTCTCACTTGTGACGTCATAATTCAGTTGAATGCGCGTTCCTTTTGCATTCTGACAAGTGAGACTGAACTGAGTTTTTACCCATAGTCTGCACAAGATCGAGACCGTGCGCTTTAGTGAATCTCGTAAACTCACTTCAAAGTGAGGTTATAAACCTGTGTTAACAATGTGATAACTTTTTACCAAAGTAAGCAAGTAGTGACGTCATTAATTTGAGTATAAAATACTCAGCTCATTTCAGATTTGGTTTCACTTGTGTGTAAATGGAAAGCAACTATTGTATACACATAACTCACATAATGGATAGTTCTTGAACTATGATTTATCAAAAGTGTAAAACTTGTGCTCACAAAATACCTATCAAGAACTATCCATTTCATTATCATTATTTGAGTTATGTGTATATAACATTTTTCGCATAAATCACCTGCGATCCACGCAGCACGGAATGTGTTTAATAATTGATCGATTAATTTATATCAGTCACAAACAAAGCGTAGCGTTATTAGGTCTGTTCGCGTTGCTGGAAATTTCGAAAAATGTTTGCACTTAAAGCGAGATAAATATATATTTGGAGTTGAAGAAAAAGAAAAAGAAGATACAGAGTAAAAAAAATGTAAGCAACGAAAATAGACCTAATTAAAACTGTTGGAAAATCTCTAATGTTATCTGAAAACTCGAAATATTTATTATTTATTAGACATGAAGGGGTCAACGTTATAAGCAGATAAAAATACGAAATGCTGTAACTGCTAAGCATTTGCGAATCGAATCGATGGTGAGGATTATAAAAATCGAGCCATTGGCGCGCCATCGAAAGTAAGCTTCCTTAATTCATCGCCGGCTCATCGGCACGTGTCTGACCACGTGTCGGCCTATATCGCGTAGTCGCAGCACGAAATCGTTCCTTATCCTCTCCGTGATTGTGTATACGTGTGCGCGTGCCTCGCTAATGAGATAACTTTACACAAGTGCGTACATTGCACCGGCGCGGCGCGAGCGCAGAGAAAGGTTGTGTTTATCATTCGCCTCTGCTGTTGTGACATTCCTGGAAGCTGGAGTCGCGTTCCCTCGATTAAGAACGTTCACGATCACCGAGGGATTGTCGGCAGGCACATTCACGTAATTTATTACATTACATTCGCGTGACTGCGCGCGTATCTCGCGCGAGAGGATTTTTCGCGGAATGCGGTAACGATTTAAATGGCTCGATTATAAAGTCGTTAATCGTTAAGAAAAGGTCCTCACCGTCGCGTAGTTTCACGCACGGCTATAGATCCGCGTAAAAATTACGTAACGAAGGAAATATATGCGTATTGTAACATTTCTTTTTTGCCAAAAATAAAAAGTGCGATCGTTGCGCTCGAAAATGTGATTTTTAATTTGTGTGCAGGCGCAGTAGCAACTCGTTTCTATTGCTCCCTCTACTACATCACGATGATAGCCCTTTTAATTTTCCTCGGCGTATTTCTCATACTTCTTGTCTACATCTTTCCTAAAAATCGCAAAACGTATCGACTTCCGCCGGGACCATCCGGCATCCCGCTATTTGGTTATTTACCATGGATAAATTCGGAACGTCCTTATGTGTCGTTCACGCAACTGGCGAGGAAGTATGGTCCGATTTGTGGGCTACAAATGGGTTCTGTGTACACAGTATTGTTATCGGATCCGCAGCTGGTAAGGCAGACCCTCGCCAAGGATGAGTTTGCCGGCCGGGCTCCATTATACTTGACACATGGAATTATGCAGGGATATGGTGAGTAAAATATATATTTTTTTTGTTATTATATAAATAAAAATAGATTTGCCGCAAAAACAAAAGAAAATAAGAAAAGCCTAATAAACATAATAAAAATCGCGGGACAAACTATAAAAAATTAAATAAAACAAATGACTGATTGAGAAATAAAAAGAGTAGAGAAGATCTATCATTTGGAAGCAAAAAATTAAAATTGCTAATTGTAATATAGAAGATGAAAATTTTTCTTTTGAATTTTATCGATGTAATAGATGAAATAGTATAAGGAGATAATAAAGTAGGATAAGATAACTTTGAAATTTTATTGACCCTAACAGCATAGAGACATTTCTATAAACATCCTAAGAATGTCGTAATTAACTGAAAGGAACATCGTGAGGATTATGCCTGTTATAGTCCAGAAACTTGTTAAGGACGTCCTGTAGCTATCAAATAAGCGTCTCATTTATATTTTCTATATGTACATCCATGAAAATTTTAATATAAAGTCCTAATGATGTCTATCCATCTCAGCAAAATATTCTTGAAATATTTGTAAAATGTTCCTTAAAAAATTCCAAAATAATATTTAAGAATATAGCGGAATATCCCGAAATATTTACAAAATATAGAAGCAAGTTGTCATTTTGCGAGATATACATTTATTCTCCCCCTAAAAAAAAAAACGATAACTAAAAAGTAATGCATTCAAATAATCGTTAAATATTTTATTCATATATCGTTACACATTTGGAGAATGTTGCATACACACTTACTCTCAAAAAAGTAGTACACTAAAAATTTAGGAAAAATTTATCAAATTTCAAATGATCACTACCTCGGTAAATAATAAAGATAAAAATATTTGTAAAAATGCAAAATGAAGCTTCAAATGACCACTTTAAGAACAATTAAATGACAATTGTGTTCGTCTATGCTCCATTTTTATCAAATGGCGGATAACAAAATAAATGTCAGAAAGTGCAAAATTAATAATTAAAAATCTGAGCTTGCTAATGTTCAATAGCGACATTTCCGATCAGTCAAACTCTATGCAGTTCATATTGGAAAGAATTATAACTGTAATTTTAGCTAACCCTGGTAGCAAGCTGACGACAAAATGACGTAGCTTGCTACCTGGGAATGACCATTAAGTCGTTTCGCAGCCTGTGACAAAAAGGTTTTGTATAGAAAGGCTAAACGAAACATTATTAGAAACGACGGAAACATGTGCTCGCTTCCTTGTGAGCACATCTTTGTGAGAATGAATATAAATGGTTATTCTGTGGCACTACAAAGTAGTCCAGCATCTTTTGGCCCATTTACCTGCGTCCTAAAAATGACATACATGACCATCTAGCGGCAGTTCTAAAATATCAGAAAGACCCTTGAACAGATATATCTCACGGACTACGGATGGATAATATGTTTATTCAATTGTTGTCGACTGAATGCTGGCACAACAGAGAGATGCGTTTTTATACTCGATTGCTATCAACCGAATGTAATGTATTTGAGTCAAGAGAGGAAGCGGGAAGAGATGAAAATACGAAAAGAGAGAGAAAGGGTACATCTGTTAAATCTATAGTGTCTAATTTAATTTAATTTAAATCGCCACTGCTCCTACTAAATATATCGTTAATTTCTATTAAAACGATAGTTAAATTTGACATTCTATCGTGTCAATTTGACACTATATAGTGTCAAATATAACTATTATTTTAGTATAAAATAACGATATAATTGAGTAGCAGCATAGTGGCGACTTACATTAGGTATACTAGATGCCAGTAAAGAAGCGCAGGTAGTAGCCAACATTTCAGATCAATACTGCCATCTCTTCTTTAAAGTGTATCCATGAGATAGCCTTTAAGCTGGAAACACAATAGACACAGGCAATAGGCACAGGGAATAACGACGAGCCGTCCAATCAGAGCTTTGGGGCATAAGTTCGATATTATATCCCAGAGCTCTGATTGGACGGGTCGTTATTTCCTGTTGCCTGTGCCTATTGTCTGTGTCTATTGTGTTTCCAGCTTAACTCTTACTTCTTACTCTCCTTTCTTTTCAACCCTTGTCACTCTCTTATTCTTTGATAATGCTATTTTCTTCCGTCTCTTCCTTTCCTATTATTCTATGCACGTTGTTCATTCTCGTTATCATATTGTCTGCGCTTCGCCTTCTTCTCTTTCCCTTCTCTTTGATTTTCCTGTTCCACGTTCCTTTTCCTTCCTTCGCGCTCTATTCCGAATAAGCGAGAGAGTCAAATTCTTAAGTACTTATACTGTCAGTTAAAATATTTTCTTAAAAAGTTTTAATCGCATTCGAACTGCAGTTCAAATATCGTCTTAATTAATTTTCGTAACGTACAACATTATATTGCAAGCATATGATGAACACGACTCGCCAACAGAAGAGTTAACAATGGAGCGGTCATAATGAAAGGCCATTGTCATGATGGGACGTCACGAACTACGTTTACACGGCTCGATTTACACCGATGTTATAACTTCGGCGTAAATCGAGCCGTGTAAACAACGGCCGGTTCCTCTAACGAATGATGATTTCGTCAGATGAATCGACTAACCTACTAATTAAGCATCTAAGGCCCGGTTGCATCAACGTTACTTTAATTTTAAGCGAGGCTTAAAACTCTCTTTGTTCCTGTCTCTTTTCGGTTTTAAAATAAGATAGAAAGAGTTTTAAGTTTCGCTTAAAATCAAAGTAACGTTGGTACAACCGGGCCTAAGCATCATAACATAGCCGCGGTTCGGTGTTTTAGGATTCACAAAAAAAGAAGAAGCTAAAATACCTTAAAATCGTGGAAAGGGAATGAAGTCGACTCGGTGTCGGTCCTTGCAGAAGATTTCGAGAATTGGTTCTGGATGACGTCCGTCTCTACCGTTGTGTCTGCAATCGTTAAAATTGTCGACCTACAAATATTCTTCTGTGTTAACCTGACATGTACGCATATAGTGAAAGTAACTTTGTGAAGACCCTCGCTCGGGTGTAAACAAGAAATGAATTTCTTTCAGCGACGTATCGTATTTGCTCGCAACGTCGTTTAACAGCACTTGAAACATTCCGGTAAAGTCGTTAGAATACGCTTGAAAGTAACGCATGTGTGTGATTCTCATCCTAAAGTCTATACTTCAACTCCACTTTGTTGAATTTTTGTTTCTTGCGTGTAATTGCAAGTCTTTTAATATCTACCGCACAAAATATTTGAAATAAATATAATTACGCGAAGAATTTTGTATTAGGCTGATCAGAAAGTTTTTTTCGCAAAAAGATACTTTTTGACTAACCTGATATTTTAAATTGTTATTTTAATTCAAAGACACCATATATTATAAATATTTTTATAATAAATCCGAAAATCATATTAGTTACGTCAACATCGAAGGTGTCATACCTTTCCGTGCTTTTGACTGCTTATTTTCTGAGCATTGAAATACGCCGGTTCCGAACGGCGGTGGCAAAGATGCTCGGTGGTTTACCATTGCCTTCCGAGAGATGGCGATCAAATAAAATTGATGAAGGCCATGGCACACACCTTCCGTAATGCGGGGTCTACAATAGAAGTCATAGGGTCTTAAGTCGTAGAAAATTGACCAATCATAATCGAATATGAGAAGAATAATCGACTACGATTGGTCAATTTTCTACGACTTAAGATCCTACGACCGCTACGACTTCTATTGTAGACCCCGCATAATAGTAACCATAAGACGTACAGTAAGAATGAGCCAACCACAGTCGAGAATTCTTTTCAACTCTTAATTCTAATTAGCTGATTCTTATGGTTATTGCTACGGAAGGTGTGTGCCATGGCCTTAATAGATCCACCATCAACTTCAGAGAGATATAATTAAGTAGATCCAATAGATCCACGTTCCGAAGAGTTAATATGCCTAGCATGCGATGATAAGAATTAATGTACAATTATGTTTACGCAATTGCCGCAATTGGGACGTATTGCAATATATTATGTTGCATAGAAAACCGCATGTTTCGCCAAGATGTGGACTATCAAAGAGAATAGAACTGTTCAGAGTTTATCTAGATGTTCCGTTCTTTGTGACAACGAGACCTCTATAAACATAAGTGCCGTTACAATTTTCGATTTATGATCGAGCGTTACTGATCGTGACACGACATTTGATAGCGAGTTCTCGTATACGAGACTTCGAGTCGCTCCGTGAGATATATGGATTCGCGGAAATAATACATGATAGATGAGAAAGAATATCGCTAAGCATCTCGCCTCGCTGGATTTTTTATTATTCTATATTCCATATAGAAATCGAAACGTCCAAGTTTGGCGCGTTCTCCGTCGATATTAATGGGATCTCAGAAATCACAATTAATATCGCTCGCCGCTAAGCTATCACTAGTCCCTGATTTGTGCTACACGGCCTTTGTTTCCAGACGAAAACAGGGTTACTCGAACGGTCATAAGTTTCGGCCGGCAGCTGAAAATTCGCCGACAAGGCCACAAATTCCGTCAGCGACGGCGCAGCGGCATGGCAGCGAGCCGAGCTGAGCAGAGTCGGGCGATACTGTGCCGTGCCATGCCGAGTCGAGCGGGACGATAATTTCACGGCAAAGTGTACCACGGACCCGGTGGTACCTTTACACCTCGTTTCGAAAGCTCCCATTCTCCCGTTCGCAATCCTCCGCCGTCTTCAGCGCGCTTCCCTCTCTCTCCTTCTCTGCTCCCTATGCCTCCTTGTCTTATTTCTTCTTCATTTCTTTCTTTCTTTCTTTATTCTTCTCGATTTACGTTCAAGCGCCCAGTGCATACACGCGCGTGTACGTGAGCCTTCAGCGATGTTTACGAGGCGCCATGCCTTCAAGTCAACGGCCCCGTGATTTCTCCATTCATTTCCTTCGCCGCTATCGCTTCTGATCTTTTACATGTGCGCCAATCTAGCGGCGTGTCGATAAATACTCGAGCGCATCACAAATTGAGCGCGGTATCGATCTTGGGATGATTAGTTTAAAACGATTGAAAA